CAAGTAGCTGGGACCACAGGTGCCCGCCACAACGCCCGGCTATTTTTTGGTTGCAGCCGTCGTTGTTGTTTGGCGGGTCCGGGCTGGGGATTTGAACCCACCACCTTAGGTGTACGTGGCTGGCACCTTAGCCGGTTGAGCTATAGGCGCAGAGCCACCCTGGACATTTTCTCTTTTCTGGCATCCACTTTGGGTCCCTTTATTACATGTTAGCATCTCCATCGTGGAATTGGGAAGAAGAAGAAGACGAGTCATGGTCAAATCATCAGATTTCATAATTCTCCACAAATCTGATAAAAAGTTTTCATGTTGTGAAAGGAAACTGGAAAGTTGTAAGACATGATTTTAAAAATTTCATCTTTGGATTGCAGTTATGTGCTAATGTACCAAATAGTCAAATGTAGATAGATACGGAAGCAAGCAAATATGAAATCTGGAGTCAATGAGTTACAGTCCCCAATTTTATAATTTATCTGTTGAATCCTTTTTTTTTTTTTTTTGAGATAGAGTTTCACTATGTGGCCTCGGTAGAGTGTCATGGTGTCACAGCTCACAGCAACCTCCAATGCTTGGGCTTAAGGGATTCTCTTGCCTCAGCCTCCCAAGTAGCTGGGACTACAGGTGCCTACCACAATGCCCGGCTATATTTTTTGTTATACTTGTCATTGTTGTTTGGCAGGCCCTGGGTCAGGTTCAAACCCACAAGCCCCGGTATATGTGGCTGGCGTCCTAGCCTCTGAGCTCTAGGCACTGAGCCTATCTGTTGAATCTTGAACAAGTTGTTTAACCTCTCAGATTCTTAATTTCTAATCTGAAGAATGGAGATTATAATATTGCCTACATTATTCATATCTTTTAGAATTTATTCTTTTGAATGGACAAATAATAGTGTATATTTAGGGGATACAATGTAATGTTTTGGTCTATGTATGCATCATAAAAAAATAAATTAAGTTAATTAACATATCCATCACTTTGTCAACTTATCTTTTGTGTGTATATGTGTGTTTGTTTGGGGGCTGAGAAAAATCTATTCTTTTAGCAACTTAAAAATACACATTATTACTAACTGCGGTCACCACGCAGTGCAATAGGTCACTGAAACTTATTGCTCCAGGCTGAGACTTTGTATCCTTTGATCAACATCTCCCACAGCCACTGGTGACCACAGCCACTGGTGACCACAGCCACTGGTGACCACCTTTCTACTCTCTGTTTCCATGAGATTCACAGATATGTTTTGGATTCCACATATATGTGAAGCACTTCATGTAAATCTGCCTCATTCAGAAGAGGATTTGAGGCTGTGGACAGAACAGCAAATAAAATAGATGCCAACATGAAGATAGTTAAAAAGTAAGGATAAGTAAAGAAAAAAAAAGTTGGAGTAAATTCAGGACACCAATCAGTAAGCCGCCATATTTAACAGAGGTGAGCAGAAATGTACTGTAAGTATATAGGAGAGTCAGCTACAAAGAGAGCAGAGTCTCTTAAGTATGCATGTTGCCTCAGTGAACACATAATTCTCCTCTCAAAACTTGGGGATAATTTTCCTTTAGTTCCTTTTCTAGGGAGGTGCTGGATGATGAATCAGTCAACATCCACGACAGTATTTCCATGGTGGACGTGATATCGTATCTCATGATTTCTGCTTCCTTTGTCATCCTCTATGCTGACCGGTGGTGAGCTCATCAAAGGAGGGGGGCAGTTATAAGAGATGTCAGGCTCCCTGATGGTTTTGCTTAAACCAAGGATCAAGGTTCAAATATTTAAAGGCATGGATGGATGGCATATTTTTTATGCAAGGTTTCCTTAAATCTCATTTCTTACAACAGAACCGTTAATAAAATTGGAGAGCAGAGACATACTGGTAACCTGTTCTGGCAAGATTGAGAAGTATAGGTAACCTGACATGCAGAAGGGAGAACTGAGAGCCTCATATAAAATACAAGGAGCCGAAACAGACAGAGGGCTCAGATAATGGTCACTTCTTATTCCATCCCCAGGCAAAGGCTCCTACAGGAATGATCCTTATTCCACTCCCAGGAAAAGTCTAACTTGTCACACTGTTCTGGGTCAGTCCAATAAACAAAGACAATCAACATCTCGAAGTCTTGCACATGGGAGCTGGCTGTGATTATTTCAGCCTGAAATTGTTTTCACAGCAGGTATCTCTAGTTACGCACAGAGACCATTAAAAAACAACAAAGCACTAAAGAACCTCAAACTTTAAGGAATATCTGTCTCAATGGATTAGTTACAAGTAGACCCGTGAAATGTTTTGAGGATTAAGTGAGATAATATCAGCAAACCTGTTTTGTAAAGTGCTATGAACATCCTAGTTATCATTCATTACCAGAAGCCCATGTGAATGCCGATCAATAATTGTCTCTGCCATGACACGGGCCTGCCTTAGTGGAAAGCAGTGGCAGAAGTCATGCAGGTAAGCATTCGGACATCACGGACTACTCGACAGGAATAATGAACAACAACATCTTCCTCGCGACTCTGAGGGTCTCCACCATGGAGACAGGGGTACCCACCTCGTCCACTGATGGGTAAAGGGCAAAGAGCTCGGCCTGCCGATTGGTCCTCCGGGCCTCCTCATTTTTCTTCTCAAAGTCCTCAGCACTCACGTGTTGCAGGAGGTTTTCTAGTCGCTGGTCAGGCTGCAGGCTGCGGAGGTCAAAGTCGCAGGCAGTGAGGGGGCCTTTCCCAGACACGTCGCACAGCACGTTTATGTGGCGGGGTCCTGTCTGTGAGAGAAAACAGCGGGTCTCAAATGAGAGCAGACGAATCTGGGATGTCTCCAGACTGCTTCAACCTGGGACTATAGAATCTCAGTTTTCTGAAGAAGCTGGGAATTGGACAAGAATGATGTCTTAGCTTCCTGGCTAGACTATCCTACAATTCCATGTCTCCTTCCCAGCTGGAAGCAGGTAGTTACTCGTCAGATGTCAATAAACCAGCCCTGAGCAGCAGTCTGAAAATAGCCCTGTGTTCCTGTTAGCTGCTGGCTTGTTCTTTCCCAGAGGTTGGGAGCCAAGTCACTTAATGAACCACGCTCGTGTCTCACGCTCAAGCAAAACAGAGCTGGAATAGGGTGTGACAGAAAAGGGGCCTGACTGGGAAATAAAGAGTCCCCTTCTTATTCCCCATGGCAGAACTTGGGTTCGGAAATTGGAAAATAAAATGATCTGTGAGGCCTTCCAAGTTAAACTTTACATCAACTCCAAAGCTGAATGTTATGTTTCCAATGACAAAGTTAGGGGAGCAGGGAACACTTTCCTACAGAACTTCAGCCATTATAGGAATAAGCACCAAAAAGAAAAAGGAAAGAAAAGGGGAGAGCAGTTGGTATTCAAGCAGTGTCCACTTTAAGCTGTGTTTATCTTGATGTGTTTGAAAAAAGAAGTCTTAAATTCATCACAAAGGGGGTGCTTTATTCCATTAGAAATGTCTTGGCAATTGGGAATTACACGCCTAACCAAAGACCCAGCAAAGAATATGTAACTGCAAGTAACAATATGCTTTAAGACTGTAGGTGGGTCATTGATCAACGTCTCCAAAGTTTATGGTAAAATATTATTCTCAAAGTTCTACTAAATGGATACACTGGGGTATAATTTTTCCAGACTATTCATTTCTTGTGGCATCTGCCTCATAAAAGTGCTACTCGAGTAGATAACTTTTACCCAAAGTAGCAATAATCAGTATTAACACTTTAATTAGGAATACATTTTTAGGCCTTTTAATTTCTATTACTCAATAAGCTTCTTTTTTTTTTGGCCGGGGCTGGGTTTTAACCCGCCACCTCCGGCATATGGGGCTGGCGCCCTACCCTTTTGAGCCACAGGCACCACCCAAAGCTTCATTTTTTAAATTCAGCTTTCTGACTCTGTGCTTGTGCCTTTGACACTTTCTCAATGAGTTTCTGCTCCTTAAAAAGGAAAACACACTTGATCCTATCAGGAATCCATTTAGTACACACATATGAACTTCAGGTCACATGGCACAACCCCCTTGGAGCCTGCCTGGGCACACGCCACATGTGGATTTTAGTGCTTTTCCAACTTTTTTGGTATAAAGATAAACAATTCTCCCACCAGGGACTCCAGGCAGCCTAGTTTTGCTGTAGGTTGTGTTGTAGGAATGCCTACAATGGTATGTCAACTTCTGGCTACTCTGAGAACTCCTCTGCCAGCTCCAAGGACTCTGCTGAGAGCTGCTGGCTCCTGCCATGTCTCAGCTGGCAGCTGATTATAAAGGGAATAGAGATGAGGAAAAAGAATTAGCTTTCATACCACTAGACCCAGTCTCTGGAAGAGCCAATTAGTAATATGTACTTTTGTTTGTCTTAGAATTAATAAGAGTTCAGAGAAAATGAGTTTAATTTCCCAAGTTTATTTAAAAGGATGCCAAGCTATACTATATATGTCAAAAGTCTGAAGAATGCTCATATCCTTTAATCCAGACATTTTACTTCTAAGAATTTGTTCTAAGGACATGACTGGACAGTTGTGCAAGGATATGAGGATAAGAACATCTCTGAAATGTTATTTGCTATAGCAAAATAATAGAAAGAAACTACCTCCCTCCCCAAAGAGGAAGCCTTAAAAGGTTTAGGAACTTTCATACAATGGAAAGTTATGTAGCCATTACAGAAAAAGGAACATGTATTTATCAGAAAAGAAAGATAATCACAGTATATTGTTAATATGAAAAATGAAGCTATAGAAGTTATACATTATACAATACGATCTGTTTTTTGTGAAATACAGTAGAATTGACCACTTCCCCACATAGACCAGACGTGTACCATAGGTACGTATCAGCAGAGCAGGCCTAGTTCCTTATGTTGACCACCTCCGTATGATGACCAGTTTGCTACAGTCCCATGAGTGGTCAACTTACAGAGATTCTGCTGGGTGTGTGTACCATGGAGTCATGTCATATAGAGATTTGGCTCATATAAATTCAGGCATTTGGCCTCACCCATGAAGAATGTGCACAAGAATGAGCGTGGAACGAAAAATGGTGCAGTCACCTCGCAGCCTGAGCATCTCTCCACCATTAATATCATTCTAACGCTTTAAGACACACAACTTTTTTGGGCGGCACCTGTGGCTCAAAAGGGTAGGGCACCGGCCCCATATGCCGGAGGTGGTGGGTTAAAACCCAGCCCCGGCCAAAAACTGCAAAAAAAAAAAAAAAAAAAAGAAAAAAATAAGACACACAACTTTTGTACAATTTGGCTCTTTTAAAAGTTTTTAATTGACACAGAATAATTGTAAGTATTTAACTGACACATACTTGTACATATTTTGGCATACAGTGCGATATTTCTATGCCTGGATACAACATATAATGATCAAATCGGGGCAATGAGCATATCGGTCACCTCAAACAATGATCGTTTCTTTGTGCAGGGAGCATACAAAATCTTTTCTTCTAGCTATCTGAAGATATACAATGAATTATCATTAATAACTATAGTCTGTCTGCAGCGCTATAGAGAATACTAGAACTTATTTCTCTTCTCTAGCTGTAGCTTTGTATCTATTACCCAACCTCTCTCTATCCTTCCCAGCCTCTAGCTGCCTTTATTCTGCTCTTTACTTCTACAACATCGGTTTGTTTGGCTCCTACATCTGAGTAAGAACAGGCAATATTTATCTTTCTGTGCCTGACTTTTTTCATTTAGCACAATATCCTCCAGACTCATCTATGTTGCTGTAAATAACAGGACTTCATTCTTTTTATGGCTGAATAGCATCCTATTGTGTAAATATCCCATGTTTTCTTGATCCATTCATCCGCCGATAGACACTTAGGTTGATTCCATATGTTGGCCATCGTGAATGGTGCTGCAATAAACATGGCAGTGCACATATTTCTTTGCTATACTGATTTCCTTTCCTTTGGACGTGTGCCCAGTAGTGGGGTTGCTGGATCATATGGTCAATGGGGCTCTTAAACCAGTCAACTGACTTAATCTAGTTCTCTGTTAGTGTGCTGTCGGACAGAGTGTGCTTTATGTGGGCTGGTCATCACCTGTTATCTCTCAGCTCCACATGCCCCCTTGTATATGCTGCTCTGTGATGCTGGGTCTGGGACTCAGCCAACCATATTTCTGCTTCCCCTGTGGCTCCCTGTAGGTTTGTTTAAAGGGGGTGCTACAGTGGCACAGGATACCTATAGGAGGGAGAAGGGACTTGCCATTCCTCTCATCTACCTTCAGATTCTTTTGGAACTTCCAGATCCATCCTCATCTTACCTTCCTGAGAGTATCAGCACCAGCTGGTCAATCTCTCCTCCCAGAAGTCCAGACTCCCTGAGGTCTTTCTTATGAGATCCTGAGATACCACCAGCTGGGCAGTGCCCCCTTCTCAGGCTTCTCAGAGATTTGAGTCCTTGCTATGAGGTTCCTCTTCTGAGCTTCTAGGTTCTGATAATTCTAAGCTCTTCCCCTAGACCTGTGCTCCTCAAATTGTGGTCCTGAGACCGTATCATCATCAACACTCGAGAAATGCTAATTAGAAATTACCAGGCCCCACTCTAGACCTACTGAATCAGAAATTCTGGAAGGTAGGTCCCAGTAACCTGTGTTGGAACAAGCCCCCCAACCCCAGGATTCTGATAAAGCTCAAGTTCGAGAACCACTGTCCTAGACCCCAGGCGGTATGCTGTTTCCTGAAGTTATGATTTCAGCATGACCTCAGTTTTTCCCTTCTGCTTTTCTCAGTCCTCCAAAACATGTTTAATCAGTACCCTGTGTAAGTTACTTCTGTTGAAATACCTGATGTGGCTTCTGCCTGGTTAATACAAGGAACAATTGGTCATTGTGTAGGAAAAAACTAAATTTAGGCAAAATTACCAATGAAAAATCCCTTACATCTCCTGAAAGTAGAGCATACAAATATTCCATCCCTCCGAAAGCCTGTCCTATTCAGCACTGGAATTGATGGCTGGTCCCTCTGTGGAGTTTGTTTTAAGTGGTTAGCTTGGCTTTAGGGACCATGTTGTTTGAAAAATAAGTATTATATGCCTCTAATCAGATTCATCATGGTGAGATGCCTGTGTCATGAGGACATCTGAATGCTGCTAACTATCCTTGTTTAGAAGATGTTCTGTGCAAAGTTGGACAAATTTGTTCTTCTCAGTTTCTTATCTATAAAATGGGCAGGTTGAACTAGAGCACTAACTTTACAAAAAATCAATCACAGTAGGACATAGTACAGATGGTTACCAGTAAGATGGTAACATAAAATTTACCATCTTAATAATTTTTAAGTGTGCAGTTCAGTTGTATTAAGAACATTTACCTTGTAGTACAACCATTGCCACCACACATCTCCATAACTTTTTTCCCCTTGCAAAGCTGAAATTCTGTACTCATTAAATAATAACTCCCCATTCCTCCCTTCCCCAAATCCCATTTTGTTTACCCATTTATATGCGGATAGACACTTGCGTTGCTTCCCCCTTTCGGCTATTGTAATAATTTTGCTGTGCATATGGGTGTATAGAGCTTAACTCTGGGGGACATGAAATTTATTTGGCTACCATTCTTTTGCTATTACATGCAAATGAGTGCCTGCTTTGTTTTCTGGCTTCCATTTTGTTAGAGTGTTTTCTGGAGTTGTTTACATGGACCCCAAAGCCATGGACAAATGGGCACTAGAAAAAATTAGTTACAGAATAGCGTCAAAAGTTCATTTCACAATATGTATACTTTAACCTGACTTTTAAACTGTAATTACTTTATACTAATAATGATGGCAACAACAATAACGCTGGCCAGTATTTACCTTGCACTAAGCACAGGTGGCATTGTTCTAAATCTTTTACACATAATGACTGATGCCTTTAATACTCAGATAATCTCACAAGCTAGTTATTAATAAACAGTATTATCATCCTTCTTTTTTAGGGGAAAGTTTAATTACCCTGCCTAAGGTTGTAGAGTTACTAGGTGGTAGAATCAGTAAGAGAAAGCAGGTGGTCTGGCCTCAGTGTGGAGCTGCCTCCAAACTCTGAGCAGTCTGCCTGGGGCACCACTGAGTCTCTACAGGAATTGCTCTAGGGAGAAGCCCAAGATGTCCTTCTCTCCTAGTTAGAGCCCCTCCACTTTTATCTGTTTTAATCACTGAACTTCTTGCTTTTTGTTTGAATGCTGATTTCTGCAGCTATAAAGAAATTTGAAAAAAAAAAATCACTGACTCTGATAGTAAAGTTCCTCCTACTCACACATGCTATGAGTCTAACCTTTATTCTAGTTTTTAAAAATTGACAGCATGCCCTGGGCGGAACAGCCCAGTAACCCAGTAACCATGTTTGTTGATGGGAAATACCTGAGCGGTGGGTTCATTGCACTCCAAGGTTTCTGACTCAAACGTCTGTTTCTGAAGCGTCTTGTGAAAATCCTTTCGAGATCCAGTCTTTTTAAAGCTGCAAATCTCTGAACTTCCTTGGTTTCTTGTATTGTGGATATTATTTAATTTGGAGACAAAAAGAGAGAGGGAGAGAGAGGCAAAACCATTAGATGAAAGTAAAAGTAATGGCTTAAGTGTAGACACGGCGTTGAGAGAGCTTTCAAAGAGAAGACCGCTTGTAATTCCTCCCATCTAATTATGCACCAGGCCTAATACAAGGCTCTGTTGTAATGAGATACAAACTTGCCTCCTGGCTGGCTCCTTATGAAAGGCAGGAATGGCCTGGGAAAATGCCACTTCGGAGGTGCGGTCATTTCAGCTGTGGGGCATTTGGCTCCAAACTGAAGCTAAACTGTGACCCTAGTGTAAGAGGCTGGAATGAATCTAGCAATGTGCAGAAGCAGCAGAGAGAGATCGTTTGAAGATAAAAATAGAGAAAAATCATTGAATCTCCACATTTATGTTCTTTATCATGAACACAAAAGGCAAGACATGGTTCAGGAAAAAATAGAAATGAATGATTTATCTACTGACATTCTTTGCTAACATTCTGAATTCTCCATCCTATGAACTCCATTTGAACATTAACATTGTGTTGAAAAAAATGGGCTGCTATGAAAAGGGTTTAAAATAGAACGTCTAGCTCTGTCACTGGAGAAGTGAGACCGGCCGAGAAAGGCAACAGATACTCCAGTGATGACTCGAGAAACCAACATGTGGATTCTCCAGTTTTACGACGGAAAGGCTTCTTAGAAAACATGCTGCAATGCCCACTGCACAGATACGTGCCGTTTTGCTCGATTTCCCGGACTATTAGAAAAACCACTGGGCAAGCTGATAAAGGGACGTGAAGTGAGGGCACAATGTATCAGGCAGATCAAATGCCAGACAGGTAAAGCCAGAAACGCAGGAGAGCCACCAGCAATGATCCCAGACGGAGCAGTGGCACCACAGAGCAGATATTTGATAGATTTTAATTGCTTGAATTAACTAAAAACAAGAATGAGACGTTCCGGTGTCGTCTATGGGGAGAACAGGACTCTCTCCCTGAATTTTACTGTGCGCTAAAGACAAGCAGTTTGTTTTGAGCAAAAAGAGATTTAAAAAAAAAAAAAACCCACCTAGAAAAGAGAAAAAATCAGCTTGGTGACTAATTCAAGTCAAAGTCGACTGTAATTAGCCATTTTTGATGTCTCCTGGCCATCTGAATTACCCTGACCCAAATCTGTATTGCTAGGGCTGGGTAAAAAGCAGGCCAGATTGAGAAAATGAAAAAAAAAAAGAAGAAGTAAATGAATAATATCTACTCTGATTAAGGAAATAACACTAAACATTTAAGAAGGATTAAAAAAATATCCAGAATAACGTCTGGTTTGGGATTCCAAGACACCAGCAAAACAAACGAAAATTAAAATAGCATAATGTTCATCAACATCAAAGAACAAAAAGCATTTTGGAGACTCTTTTAAGCAAGTCCTCAGAGGTCACAATGATTTAAACTATTTACCAAAATCATTTTGGTTCCACTTGTTCCAAGTGTCCAAATGGTATCAGTATAAAAGAGTAGAAATTCAGGTGAGCAAAATTATTTTGTAAGATTTGTTTTCTATTAACAGAGTTCTTTGAGAGAAATCCTTCCCCGGGATTTTATAAGCCTGCTAGCATCTTAAGTGATCCTCACAACAGAACAGTTAGGCAGCAACATGTATGTGTGTGGGGTGAGCAGGTTTCCTAAAGACATTCCATAAAATCACTGGCTTTTGGGCTCTCGGGGTCCTCAAACTTTTTAAACAGGGGGCCAGTTCACTGTCCCTCAACCGCTGCAGGGCCTGACTGCGGGCCCTGGGACCAGTCGGCTGCTAAGCAGGACAGGCAGCGGTGGCAAAAACACCCGATAAATGTACTGGGTGTTTATTGCATTTATCTGCAGGCCAGATAAATGTACTGGACAGGTCGCATGTGGCCCACGGGCCATAGTTTGAAAGACACCTGGGGCTCAAAGCAGGACAGGCAGCAGCGAATAAAACACCCGATAAATGTACTGAGTGTTTACTGCATTTATCTGCAGGCCAGATAAATATACCGGACAGGTCGCATGTGGCCCACGAGCCATAGTTTGAGGACACCTGGGGCTCAAAGAAAAAACAAAAAGCTGAGTGTGATCTAACATGGGGGTGGAGGGAACCAACTCCAACAGCAGCAACTACAGGCAAATGTTAAGTTGTGGGCTAAGATTACACTATCCTGAATGACAACACCCTGAATCCGTGTTTGTTTTTCCTGAAAAATCCGACTTAAGGGGAAAAATTACCAAAGAAATCACCTAACATGAATTCATTTGAAGATCAAAACAAACAGTCAATTAAAATTAAAATTTCCCATTTGGTATTTGCCCTTTGCGTGCTGTAGGATCTGTATACTCCAAAAGGTAATAATGTCAAAGGTTCAATATTACGTGGCTGTTTACAAGGAAACCTTCTTAAGTCACAGAAATAAAAATAAGGAAGTAGCCTTGCTAAAGGCAACTTAGTGACCAAAACTATATGTAAAGCATTAACTTTATTTTTTTGTCTTATTAATAAAATACACCTATTTCTAATAGCGTTTACTTACAAGTGAACAACACACACACACACACACACATATAGAGAATTACAGAATTGTGTCTGCCTCCAACATCCTCAAGTTACTTCCCTGTCCATGCTTCTATTTCGTTCGTTCGTTTGTTTGTTTGTTTTTTGAGACAGAGCCTCAAGCTGTCCCCCTGGGTAGAGTGCCATGGCATCACAGCTCACAGCAACCTCCAACTCCTGGGCTCAAGCGAGTCTCCTGTCTCCTCCTCCCAAGTAGCTGGGACCACAGGCGCCCACCACAACACCTGGCTATTTTTTGGTTGCAGCCGTCATTGTTGTTTAGCAGGCCTGGGCAGGATTCAAACCCGCCACCTTAGGTGTACGTGGCTGGCGCCTTAGCCACTTGAGCCACAGGCACTGAGCCCATGCTTCTATTTCTTCACAGTGTGAAATGTGGACATAGGTGAAAGCCTGGAGGTTTTCTCCAGTTTTAAGATTCATGATAAAAAGTTAATATACTATATATGAAAAAATGAAAATCAAATTTTTTTCTCAAAAATGCTTAACTTTAGGGCCATGAATTTTATTTGACTTCTTTATGCAGTGGATGCTTGCTTGCCTTCTGCCTTCCATCTTGTTAGAATGTTTGCACTCCCCAGCCAATGACAGATGGGCATTGAAAAAGTAATAAGATAACGTTAAAAGTTTACTTCACAATATTTATAGTTTAACCTGATAGATAGGCCAGCCTTTAGGATTTTGCTGTGGAAAGCATTAAGACTAGCTTCTTTCTGCTGGCGTGGATGTGGAGAGAAGAGAACACTTCTACATTGCTGGCGGGATCGCAAACTAATACAGCCTTTTTGGAGAGAAGTATGGAGAATCCTCAAAGATTTATAAGTAGAGCTTACCTTTGACCCTGTAATGGAACTATGTTATCTGTCCGGAAGAACAAAAATCATTTTACTACAGAGACATTTGCACTAGAATGTTTATTGAAGCTCAATTCATAATTGCCAAGTTGTGGAAGCAACCTAAGCGCCCATCAACCCATGAATGGAGCAACAAACTGTGGTATATGTATACCATAGAATGTTATTCAACCATTAAAAATGACAGAGACTTTGGGCGGTGCCTGTGGCGGCCCAAAAGAGTAGGGCGCTGGCCCCGTATGCTGGAGGTGGCAGGTTCAAACCCAGCCCTGGCCAAAAAATGCAAAAAAAAAAAAAAAAAAAAGATGTGACTTGACATCTTTTACATTTACCTGGATGGAAATACATTCTTGAAATACATTCTTACTAGTAAAGTATCGCAAGCATAGAAAAATAAATATTCAAAGTACTCCATACTAATATGAAATCAATATATAAATGATTACATGCTCATAAGAACAATAAAACACTAAGAGAGTCCAGTTCGGGAGTAGAGGGAAGCGGGAGGGGGAGAAGGAAGGAAGGTCATGAGGCAGGTTCTCACCGCAGGTGCACATTGTGAAGGTGTATTACATGCCTCCTGGGTGAGGGGCTCTTCTATAAATGGAACTGTACCCTGGAAGTGAGAACAATGTAACCTAGAAATTGTACCCTCACATTAATTTGAATAAAGTTTTTTTAAAAAGACTAGCATCTTTCATGATTGTGTGTTTGAAACTAGCGCAAACATCTCTCCCCTTTCTCATACTGGATTTAGCATCTACCTCCCCATTTCAAGATCTCAGAAAGTAGTAAAGCTCCCTCATGGTAGTGAGGGTGAGGGTGAGGGTGAGGCTGGCTGTGGAGGAGAAGTTAAGGGTTGGCAAGCATGAAAAGATGACTCATTCCAGAAGTGCTGGCCACAGGGGGAACCACCACTGGGAAGGTAGTGAGACCACTGGCCTGGTGCCACCGGCTATGAGACCCCAGCCTCATTACGCCACCATGATGACCAAGTCAAAGACAGCCAAGTTTCTGCTGAGCCTGTGAGCAAATGGGAGAAAGACGGGGAAGCAGGCCAACTGCAAAAAAAACCATTTTCATGAAATGGACACTATTGCTTCCCAGGAGAACTTTATTCCTTTTCTTAAAAAGGACTGTCTGGCATGGGAAGTCAGAGCCCAAATGGTATGAAGAGGGGATCCAGGCCTGTGGCAGCCTGGCTTGTGGTAACAAAGCCTGGGCTGAGCCTTCGTGAGGCTGGATTTGTGGGGAAGGACTCTGAACAACAGGTCAAGAGTGGCTTCAGTGACACCCACCGCGGGCTGCTCTTTGTTACTGCACAGGCTGGCAAGCCTGGCTTGCTTTGCACACTTTAGAAAGCAAACAGCTAAGCACCTTGACAGCCAGCACAACAAATGCATGTCATAATAAGCAATTATTGATCAGGGAGACATTTTTATGATGTTTTGGGGAGTAACTGAATTATATGCACTGATGTGTTTGAATTTTAATTGTTTACCAGTTCACTGGGAGTAAAATATGGAGTAATAAAACAG